AAAAGATGCATGTGACTAGGAGATGAATGGAAATGATAGTGCAAGGTAGAGGGGGAAGAGGTCGACCGAAGAAGACACGGATGGAGTGTGTGAATGACGATATGAGAGAGATAGGAGTGAGTGTTGAGATGACGGCTGATAGAAAAGAATGGAAGAGAAAAATAAGCTGTGCCGCCCCCCGTAGTGGGATAAGGTGGAGAAAAAGAAGAAGAGATGAGTTGACGAGCTCACAGCCCACCTGGAGCTTACCGGAGACTATAGACGTCTACCACGTAAATTCGCCACCCACCTTGACATATAAGTTCAAAGGTCTCAGTATGGTTACAACGGCTGCCCCGCCCTTCAAACCGAAACGCATAGCTTTTTCTTCCCTGTAAAAATACACAGATCCTGTTAATCCCTTGGAATGTACTTATAGCTGCTTTATGCATGTATATGTTAACGGAAATGTATGTAATCCGTCATTGTATACAATTCCTAGGAAATGTATGTAATTCCTAAAATCGCACGGAAATGTGTGAAATAAATTATATTATACTACTTACACATTACACGTTTCCTAGGAAATCTATACATTTCCTAAATAGCAATCGGAAATGTAAAACATTTAAGATATTGGTGGGTACGCGGGGACAGCGGGACGAGTCTTGCACTACGGTCAGTTGCCAACTTGCAATCCACTGGAACCGGCCAGGGATTTAAGAAGTGCCTTTGCAAGAAAAACTGTGGTACATCAGACATCAAGATGTCTGTGTTTTAAAAATAAAGTATTATGTACTTCCAAATGCCATTCGAGCTTACCCTGCAAAAATAAATAGCTATATGGACTGACAAAGTATCATAATATAAAGATTTACTTTTATACTTTGACATTTATAATTACTGACATTTATAATTACTTAATTATCAGACTGAAAGTTGATTTTGTGATACGTTAAAAGTTAATAGATAGTTGATTTTAGAAGTTTTAATTAGTAAGATAATATGAATATATTATTATTATTTTACGGTATGACTGTTACCCGATTGTCTCAATAAGTGTTATAGTAAAAAAATATTATTAACAACGTGTTTTATTACAGAAAGCATTTACTTTATACATTTCCTAATACGATATTGGAATTATATACAATTCCGAGGAAATTTATACATTTCCTAGGATATCTATGCATTAAATAGTTTTTCAAACAATATTTTATACATTTCCTAAATAGTATCGGAATTGTACACATTTCCTAGGATTTGTATACAATTCCTTGATTTCATACATTTCCGGTAACATATACAATTTACTATCATCTAGTAATTAGCATTCGTATTCATTCGCATCGCATTAAAAAATACTATTCTATGCAACTAGTTCGACGGTTTTTAACCTAGTTTTTTATCTCTGGCTTCAGTTTTAAAGTCGTATCATCGATTTTTTTCTAAAATTTAATATTCGCCAATAGCTTAAATAAAACTGTTATTTTTATTGCGTATTGATTGCATAAATTTTAAAAATAAAAACTGTGGTCGCGTTTGTTTTATTTCTAGTTTGTCGTTGATAGAAAAAATGAGGCAACAACTGACCGTTATAAATGCCTTCTGGCAAAATAGTCAAGATATTGATTTAGATACTAATTTATTTTTTTATTTTTTTTATTGCCCTTGTAGGCAGTCGAGCATACGGCCCACCTGATGGTGAGTGGTTACCGTCGCCCATGGACTTCAGGAATGCCGAATTGTTCATCTCGAACAATTCCTCAGAGCACTCCCCATGGAACATACGGTACAAAATACAGAGGGAACCTAAGTCCCTCCGCAGACCCAGAGGTTCCAAACGATTCGTGAGAATGGGATTATCGACAATCCGAACGGCCCTCCTCTGTATGGAGTCAAATGGAAGAAGCTGGTATTTGGGAGCCCCGGCCCAGAGATGGGAGCAGTACTCTACGCGAGGCCGGACTTGTGCTTTATAAAGCAAAAGCCTTTGCTTTAAATACTAATAAAAATCTTCTACACATATAATCAATAACATTTAAACACATTAATCTACAAAATGTAGATAATTTTATTATATGTTGTTATAAGACACGCTTACATTGATAATAATGATAAAAAAGAACTATATTTATGTTTTAAGATTATCATTGTCTGCAGATATTGGTATTATTAAGCCATTGGCACAATTAATTTCAATTATGGTTCATGGCTGTGAGATGATTTAATTAAAACTTTGTTCAGTTGACGCGTGTAAGATCTAGTTGTCTTAAATTAATTTGAAGGTTAGAAGCATCTGACTTCAGACGTAACTTTTATAATTAATGTAATATTATCTTTTGAAAACTAATAATTATATTTTATTATAATATTAAATATCTTTTGTCGTGTTACGTGTGCGTTTTTTTTTTGGTTTTAATTTATTTATGATTTGAAGTATTTACTAGAGCTCCTAACTTTAAACAATTGACGCCCACCTTAAGACAAAAGTTCTAAGGTCTAAGTTTTGACAGCACAACAGCTTCAACCCTTCAAAATCCTTCAACCTTCAAAAGCTCACAGCCCACCTGGTGTTAAGTGGTTACTGGAGCCCATAGACATCTACAGCGTAAATGCGCCACCCACCTTGAGATATAAGTTCTGAGGTCTCAAGTATAGTTACAACGGCTGCCCCGCCGTTCAAACCGAAACGAATTACTGCTTCACGGCAGAAATAGGCTGGTTGGTGGTACCTACCCGTGCGGACTCACAAGAGGTTCTACCACCAGTAGATTTCAGCAATGGGGCAGAGCCAAGCCACTGCCTACCGTTAAGTTTTTTTTTATTGCCCTTGTAGGCAGACGAGCATACGGCCCACCTGATGGTGAGTGGTTATCGTCGCCCGTGGACTTCAGTGCAGAGCCAAGCCACTGCCTACCGATAAAGTAATCTCCACAAGCCTATAAAAGCCTCTATAATCTATTATAGTTACGCGGCGGAAATCAGCAGAATAGCGGTACTTGCGTAGGTACAATACTGGCTTTAAATACGCCACCCTCATCAGTGATTATGGAAATTTAAAAAAATATGTTGTTTACTTGTATTTCACGTAAATTTTCCTTTATTTTGGAAGTCTTTTGTGAACATATAATGTGTTAGATGCGGATTTTCCTTTAAAAAAATTTGTATATTTGACCGCGATATTTTAATACCAGCATAGTTGTATCGCTTATTACCCGATACACTGGGTTTTTTAAACGACTTCAAAAAAGGAAGAGGTTCTCAGTTCGACTGTATGTTTTTTTTTATGTTTGTTAGTTACCTCATAACTTTTGACTGGGTGAATCGATTTTGATGATTCTTTTTTTATTAGAAAGCTGACGCTTCCCATGTGGTCTCAATTTAATACAGTTCTGATAATGGTATCCATGAGAAAACCATATAAGTCTTAAATTTGCGTTAAGTACGTGCGCGACAAATAGATGAATAACTCAATATCACGCCAACCGATTTCGATGATTATTGTTTTTAGTGTATATTAATTTGTTTTGGAATATCTTTTTTTTCTATTTGAAGTCGGATTTTCTTAAAGCATGTCTATTTACAATTCTTATTACTTAGGCCACGACGACTTCGATTTCTAAACATCCGTCGAATGTCATTTTCAAAGGTTTTGGTATTCTAATTAATTGTATGGTTACTCAATATCGCTGCCGGTCATTGAGATGCAAGTATTTTTATACATTATTAACAACCGAGGTTACAGACACGCTGCCCTTTTCATGGTCAGTGATCACTGCTGCCCATATAATTAAATATGCTCATGGGCACACAGCTGGACACTAGCTATAATTTAAATTTCTATGGCCATTGTCGAATACTATTTCAATTACGATCTCGGTTATAACGTGTTGTATTTTTATTAATTAATCATTATTAAACTATGACAATGAAATAGTGAAGTATAGTTACAACGGCTGCCCCACCCTTCAAACCGAAACGCATTAATGCTTTACGGCACAAATAGGCAGAGTGGTGGTACCCACCCGCGCGGACTCACAAGAGCTCCTACCACCAGTAATTACGCAAATTATAATTTTGCGGTTTTGATTTTTATTACACGATGTGATTGTGACATTAAACTGACTTATTATTGTCGTCACTGTTTGTTTTTACATTAAAATTAGTGAATTTCAACCAAACTCTCTAGACCTATTGTTCGAATTTTAAGTGAAGCACAGACGTACGATTTTTGGTAACTATGAAAAAAAAATAACTTACCCGAAATGCCAAACGAAAGTATTTCAACTAGTTTTAAACACAATGAAATTATCTAATTAAGAACTTATAGTTCAAAAATAAAAAAATAAGGCTATATATAACTAATAATTTGATAGAATAGATTCCTGTCTAGAATAATTTTATTGAAAACTTTTTTATAGTATTAAATAGATGTAAATGCTATTGTTATGTTGTTGTTGATTCTACAAAGTATCATATTTTCGAATTTAAAGTTTATTGCGTGTGCTTTACGACGAGGTCAGTGACCTACTTCTAAGAAAATTCTACGTGAAGCTACCATACCTTACGAGTATTATGTCCTAGTATTTAGTACCTAAAGTCCGCAACGCTTTTTAAGCCGAACTCTTTTGAACCGGCTCTTTTTGTGTCGAGGATTTAGACATTACTTTTTACCGTGACATCGGTTTGTAGATAATAATCAAATTAAGTAAAATGTGATAATGCTAGCTCACAGTGAGACCGAAACTATTTTTACTGATAACAATTACCGCTGCCATACGTAAAACTACTAGAAGCTACTAATTCTTTTATCACATAGTAAATTAAATGGCTATTAGCTCCGAAAATAATAATAATAATATGGTGGGTCTTCGAATTCGAAAGTTCTTCGGTCAGTCCCGCGGCGTATTTACCGCGGTGCGCACGCGTTTTCCGTTAGCTTTTGAAAAACGATGTTCGGTTAGCGCGCGAATCGAAATAAAGATCGAGGAACCGAAATTACCAGAGAAATTAATAATATGTCGAATATACCTTTAGTACGTCGGGCGATCGTTGGAGCTACTCTAGCCCATAATGCACCAGGTCTTCAGTCGCCGGGTCAATCCAACTCACCGGTTGAACCTGACCCGATGATCGTCGAGGGAGGTCAAGAGAGCCAGTGGACCCCCGCCGCGTTAGAAAGGGTTGGGTCGACGTTGAAGGCTTTGAATCGTATGGCCAAACGACCACCTGTACATTTATTGTTCGAAGATGTCAACTACACCGTAAGCTCTCATAAGGGTGAGTGTTTCTTATATCAAAATATAAAAATCCGCAATTCATTATTTTTTTATTGTGTAGATGGGTGCACGAGTTTACATCCCACCTAGTGTTTAGTGGTTACTGGAGTCCATAGACATCTAAAAGGCAAATGGGCCACCCACTTTGAGATATAAGCTCTAAGGTCCTCAGTATAGTTACAACGGCTGCCCTGCCCTTCAAACCGAAACGCATTACTGTTTCACAACAGAAATAGGCAGGGTAGTGGTACCTATCCGTGCAGACTAACAAGAGATTCTACCACCAGTAATGAATATAAGCGGAATTTTGTCTGAAATAAATAATATTTGATGACGATTCGAAATTAATAAGATAATTAATTTAATGAAATACGTAAAAGTAGGGTCGGTTGCGATTATGATTTCTAGGAAAAAGAAAAATACTGTCCAATTCTGGTACAATATGTTTTTTTTTTTTTTTTATTGCTTAGTGTTGCTAGGTACTAAAAAATATTTCAATAGCATTTGGAATTACTAGAAAAAAATTAACGCGATTAAATTCTGTTTCGATTTAAAATCTTATCTTAGACACATAAAAATTTTTAAGCGTAAAGCTTATTTTTATGATAATGATTTAAGCAAAAACTTGGTTTGAGAAAACTAGGTTGCGACTGCGAATACAGATACAAATAAATAAATTCTTACAAAATATTTTATGCAATATTATCGGATAAAATTTACATGTTTCAAATGTGTTGCATGTCTATAAAATATTTCAAGATAAATTAAGACAAATATTTCAAAAACATTAACATAAACTAACAATGAAACGATCTCTTGAACAAAAAAATCTACTTCTACACGACTCTTGAAAAATTAGTATATTATTTATTCAATTATAAATTTAAAATATCTGACCTGAGATTTTCATGTATGGGGTATTTATTGTTAGAATCCCTACATCCCATGTACACGTAGAGTCATGGTGATCATGACGCTTGCAACAGCGCCGATATATCGGGAGCTCATATTATAACATAAGTAGTAAGAACCCGTTAAATAATAGCCTGTGTGACGTTCTTTTGTTTGTTTGTCCGTGCGATTGTACAGTGTATGGGAGCTGAACTAATTTGTACATGGTTTTCTGATACTATATTGCAATCAAAGAAAAAAAGGTAAACTGAAAAACATAAATCGCGAACACAATCTCATTGCGTAACCCTAGCCCCAACACGTGGTCCCCTAGGCATCAGGAACCGATAATCTCGATCGATCCGATCTGATAATAATAAGGTATGTTTTTTCACAGTTACAGAACAAAGCATTAAGAATTTCCACAGTTACATAATTAATTTTATTATTAAAATTGTCATTAAAATATATTCAAGAATGGATTCGAAATAAAAATAGCTTGACATTAATGGAACCTCAACGAAAATAGCTATTGAAATAATTATGATAACAAAGATAGCGGAAATTAAATTCTGAAAATGACAAGATAATATTTCGATAAAATACAAAAAAAAAATTGTTTAATGACAATGTACAGGATTTTTTTTTTCCATTTCCGGTCATTAAAAACGACGTCGCAAAATATTCCAACAAATTACGTTGTTCGGACTACGACCCAATGGTTATACACACATTCATAGAGATGATTATAAATTATCTAGCCAAAATTACTGTTATAACAAAATAAAACATATGAATTTGGAACCTGTCAATCTCACATAAATATTCGTTTTGGTTTTTACGACAGTTTTTGTTACATATTCTTGTAATAAGGTAAACCTGAAAATCTTCGTCATTAGTCCCATATTTCTGTACGAGGTTATTATTATTGGCATTAGATATATTGACACATCTTAAATTTGTGATAGAAAAAAGAAAAACTCTATACGTTTGGCCTGGTATGTTGATGTGGGATTCTCACTAAAAATCAATAAAAACAATGAAGCGAGGCAATGGCTTGCTTCTCCTCTGGCATTGCTGACGTCCATGGGCGACAATAACCATTCACCATAAGATCGACCGTATACTCGTTTGTAAATGTCGAAAAATGTAACCATTCCATCAGTATTTTCTTATGACGTTGTCACGTTCAACTATCGTCAGTAAACCTACTTTACAGACAACCCATTTTTTTTTTCAATACAGCTCTGCACCTTGTGATGAAGCTCGATCGTGGTTGGAAAGAAGCCATTCTGACTTCATCACAGCTAGAGGTTGGGACTAGACGATTGCTTGTAGTGACAACAGTTAATTTGCTTGATTATGCTTTAATTACCTATGCTTTAATGACATTATTGAAGAACATTGCATGCTCTAAATTTCATGATAATTTGGAATACCTAAAACAGTGCATCGAGATTAGCAATGATGAATTTTCTCTTGGGGAAAGTCGGTGCATACATTAAAAATGAGACGGTGCATTTTAAAGCCAATCGATACAATTTTGTTTGAGCTTTACATTTTAAAATGCTGTTTAGTTAATGTATAAACTAACTAGCGACCCGCCCTCGCTTCGCTTCGGAAACATTAAAACACACATGAAACCAAAAAATAAAATAAAAAAATTTTTAAAAAAAGTAGCCTATGTTCATCAGGGACAATGTCGGCTTCTAATGGAAAAAGAATTTTTCAAATCGGTCCAGTAGTTTCGGAGCCTATTCGAAACAAACAAACAAACAGATCTTTCCTCTTTAGTATAGATGGAGACTGCTGCAATAACGAGAAAAAAAACGACGTTCTCCTTGTAACAATATTTGTGACAGGACCAAGTTAGATAACTCATTGAAGGTCTAACTTTATTTTTATTTGAAGTGGTTTGCTTGATATATTGTATATTCGGAGTACTATTACAGTAAATATTTGAGTTTGATTTGAATTAAAGAGCGGACGGTTAACGTGGTATGAATATGTGATGCGTAGAGAGAAGATGCATGGGACTAGGAGATGTATGAAAATGGTAGTACAAGGTAGAGGGGGAAGAGGTCGACTGAAGAAAACATGGTGGAGAGAGAGGAGTGAGTGTCGAGACGACGGCTGATAGGAGAGCATGGAAGAGAAAAATTATCTGTGCCGACACCACCTAGTGGGATAAGGTGGAGAAAAAGAAGAAGATTTGAGCAAAGTTAACAATACCGTATTTTACATTTTTCTGAATTTATATCGGAATACTACTACGATGAAGACATGGTCACATTTAATAGACTATTTGCAACTTTTCGCAAAGGGAAAACCCTTTAGTAGTCTTTAATGGATTATTATCATGTAAGCTTTTTTGGATTGTTTAGAGGATTTTCTGTTATAAAAATAACATTTGGAGTGTAAAGGTGCCTACAGTTATCGAAGCCGAAAAGTACCTAATGTACAACCTAAAATAAACAAAAAAACGCTATTTATCTATCGTATTTTTTTCTCTGTATGCCAAATGATTTTCTTTAATAGCTATTGAAGAGGTTTAGTTTATCAATAACATTTGGAGTGTAAATGTGCCTACAGTTATCGAAGCCGAAAAGTACCTAATGTACAACCTAAAATAAACAAAAAAACGCTATTTATCTATCGTATTTTTTTCTCTGTATGCCAAATGATTTTTTTTAATAGCTATTGAAGAGGTTTAGTTTATCAATAACATTTGGAGTGTAAATGTGCCTACAGTTATCGAAGCCGAAAAGTACCTAATGTACAACCTAAAATAAACAAAAAAACGCTATTTATCTATCGTATTTTTTTCTCTGTATGCCAAATGATTTTTTTTAATAGCTATTGAAGAGGTTTAGTTTATCAATAAAAATAATTTGAAAGTACTTTTTTGTACTCACATTAACAAAAAAGTATCTCAAAAATAAATCACATTGGAAAGTGTAATACGTAAAATGAAATTTTAGGTCGACGATTGTACTCAAATTTCGATTTACGGACAAACCCTAGTTTTAATAAAAGTTCTGATATAAAAATACAGTCGTATTAAGAACCGCTTCCTTTTTTTAGGTCGGTCAATAAGCTTAAATACAAGAATTATTTTTAAGTTCATCTTTAAGTAGCTCATAATACAACACGAAGGTGCTAATTACGTGCTAGAAATGTTTTGGTTTTATATCAGCTTTTGTGTCAAATAGGGAATCGGGTCATCTACGTCCGTGTATTTGTCAGTGACGCATTCCTTTCTGATTGGTAAGGTCACATTCTATTTGCGAAAACAATTATAACTCATACAGTCCACTTTTATTTATTTGCACAAGCCGTTAATCGCCGCTTCGTTCGTTATTGATATTAGTAACGTTGAAGAATTTGATTTTAATATACATACAATTTACATACATAAATATACATTTTCATCTATCCGTTGTTCCGTCACATCGCCATAAAGTTTGTATTAAAATTAAATTAAATTCAAATTTGGAATTGTGCGAGTAACTAGTTTCATAAATCGAACTGCTTAATAAAAAGACTTTCACTATACAACCTTCTTGGTGCCGATACCTAAAGATTAGTTATATTAAAAAAAAAAAACCTAATAGATTACCTATGTCATTTTTAGAATACCTCGTGAAATGGTTACTCTGTGTTGTATAATTCACGAATAGCCAGCTTCAAACAACCGAAAGAATTAAATACGGTGTAAGCGGTGAATAGGTATCCACCTTTAGCCTCGGACCTTTTTCGCCCCACTCAAGCCTTAGGCTACTTATTCGCCTCTTATTTATAAGACCCATAGGCTCAACGGTTTGACCTGGATTTTGATGAACAAATCATCCAGAACAACAAAATTTATGTGTATAGACGGACGATCATTCACTCGCATTATTTTGTCTGATATCAATTTCCTATTTTGTTTGTTTCTCAAAAGTAACGGATTTAAAAAAATCTGAGGTCGTTGACATTGCTTGGCAGCAATTTATATGATAGTTCGCTGATGTGTGGTACAACTATAAATGGACAATATAGAAAGAAATAAAACCGTTTATACCTTTAAAAAAAGATCGATAATAACACTATATTATTATAATAATCGGT